GCCGAAAACTCCTAGCTAAGCCACTCACTGGCCGTGTGAACTTGGGCAAGTTATTTAACCTCACTGTGCTTCAGCTCCCTCACCTGACATGGGGATAATAGCACCTAGCTCTTGTTACGATGAGAACTAAATGACATAACTTCCCTAATCATAAAACATTAAGACAACTTAAACTATTTTGCACACAAAGGCCCCATTTTATGCAAAAAAGAAAAAACATTTAAGTAAACAAAAATATATTCTGGTGCACATTTTGATAAGGCACGTAGCACAATCAGATGACTGGTTAAGTAGAACTGAGTTAAACTTTTCCATTTTCTGGAAAAAAAGGTTTAAAACTATCTAATCATGTGGTCATGTGATCAAATGGTATAGAACTAATATATACATACACGCATGTGCAAGTTAAACTGGGGAAATCTGAATAAGATAGGCAGACTGTGTCAACGTCAGCCTCCTGGCTGTGATATTAAGCTACAGTTTCGCACAATGTTACCACTGGGGGAAATTAGGCAGAATGTACACACCCACTTTGTATTATTTCATATAACTGCATATAAATTTACAAATATAGCAATGAAATTTTAATTAAAAATATGTGACCTCAGTATTAATTTACTAGAAGTCATTAAACTGTATGTTTACAACTGATTGCTTTTATTACTAGACAACTGCCATAACCTTTAGAAGTTACATTTAAGGAAAAGCACCATCATTACTACCATCATCACCATCACCGAGACCTTTTACATTATTTTTCCCTTATAAGGGAGGATGGATTACACATTTTCTAATTAAATGACATTACTTTTTGCTAGTTCTTTGTCATTCACTAAATATTTTTTGCAGCTTTTATGGAGATGTAATTGACATATAACGTCATGTAAGTTTAAGGTGCGCAATATAATGATTTGATATGTGTATATACTGGGAAATAATACGATAAAGTTAGTGAATACATCATCATCTCACATAGTTACAATCTGTGTATGTGGTAAGAAGTTTCAATATCTACTCTCTTAGCAAGTTTCAAGTATACAATACAGTATTGTTAACTACAGTCACCACGCTGTACATTGCACCCCAGAACACTTCATCTTACAACTGGAAGTTCGTAGCCTTTGATCTCCTGTACACCACCACCCCCAGTCCCCTCCCGCTTGTTAAATCTTGACTAATTAGGACACCACTAGGCTGTATTAGGGAATAAAAAGACACAGAAATCAGATTTAATAGTCTATCAATAGATGTAAGTCTAATGTAAAAGAAACACAGTATTTTCAGCAAAACAAACCGGTTCATTTTATGTCCTAAACTGTCCTTCCAGGATACTTCATCCCAATTTATGCATCTCTTAATTTAATTATCAGATTATATGAAGCTTGGTTTCAAGTCAGTTTGAGTAACAACCCTTAGTAACTATAAAATACTGAGTTCTAATTTTTTAAGACAGCAGGTAGGTTGACATTATCACTGAACTTATTTTTACACAAAATATAGAAAATCCACCTACTATCTATTTCTACCTCTTGAAGCCTGGCACACTTAACGGCATTTCATGACAAGTGGAGAAAGCATGAATCAAAGCTGATAGAATTTACTATTTGAGAATAGGCAACCAAAATCCATTTTATTGAGAAAAGGTTATATATCTATATTAAGTTGTTGATGTTCTGCAATGTACACTGCAGGATCAGGATAATGCTGCAAATACGTAGATGGATGCAATTCGTTATGACTTGCAGTCACAATGATTCAAGCGCACACTTTTACCCTCTCTCCCATTCTAGAACTCTTCTCTCCCAGTATACACCAAACTAACAGATGTACTATTGATAGATAACCTCCTTAAATAATGTCACAGTATTCACTGAGCTTTGGCAGTGAGTCAAAATAGAAATTGGAGACCTAGACCAAGCAAATACTGTATATTTGGCAAAATCACTTGTGGTTGTGTTCTTCAGCATAGTTTCCAAGATAACCACCAGCTCTACTTGGCAACCTGAGTCTCCCACAGTTAAGGCTCCAATTGTAAAGTTGGCTTGTGAGACAGTTTCTTGCTGCTGGCTTTGGTGCCATTACTACTCTTAAGAATGGTGCCATAATAGTTGAGGAAAAACATGTTATTTTGATTAACTAAAACTGACAGTTGGTCCAAAGTTTTAACCTGTCCTCATGATAAGAAACAATTATAGTAAAACAGTCTATATATTGTTTATAAAACAAAGAAGATTCCCTCTAGTAATATGAAATGGCTAGGCAAGACTATGACATTCTAGTAAGCAACAACAGCAATGATTGAACTTGTAGTAGAAGCAATTAAAGCATAAGAAAGCAGGACTAATATTTCAAAGTATCAGACATTCTAAAATGTCAAGCATCCACAGCTTTTGAAAACATTTCAAGGTAATTTCGTAAGAACTTTTAAGCATTTACCAATTTGGATTTGGGGCGGGATGGAAAATAAAGTTTCTGCCTAGGTGTGTCTGTGAATCATAAGAAGGGCTTTTTAATGAGGTCAGCAAGTAAGGAAATATATTTTAATAGTGACATTTGGCTTACAACATTGTGTACGGGTGGAGCCCTGGAAGGTTTGATAGAGAAATTCTAACTTCAGCAAATGAAGCCAAAACATGAACTGCAGTGCTTATTACCTAATACAAGTCCAGTACCCAAATAGAACTTTGGAAGTCTGTCTTAACAGCTCCTCGGCAGGTGTGTTTCACTCGTTCTAAAAGTGATGCTGACTTGCCAATGTCTAGATCCATGGGCCACTGCATCAAAATCATATCAATCCCTCTGGCTGCTGGCATGGACCAGCACAATGCCAGATCTAACTAAAGCATTAAGGGGAAGAAAAAAAAAAGTCTGGTAAATGTGTGAATTTAAACAAAAAAAGGGGGAGGGAGCAGACCTTCCTCATTCTGAGTTAATTTCACATTAACCATTAGTTCAATAATAAGTGAAACAATATTGTAGTTCAAGAAAAACTGCTGTCTATCTATCTTGTGGTTGTCCACTGTCATTCCCCTAAAATTCAGTTACCCAAGGCAGATCTATCTATGAAATTTTTGGAGCACCCAGGTGGTAACTGACTCACAAATATGGTAAATGAAGAACTGAGTTTGTCTTTTATTATAAACTCTTTATTCCATGCTGATTCAAATAATGTCTCTTAGCTAATAAAGGGAAAAGTGGTACTTTTACTCAGATTGGTGAATAATATGCACATCTCCTCCTTATAATCATTGAAGCCCTCATACAACATTGATTAGCAGCTATTTTCAACATGCAAATGGGATGCATAAAGTAACAAAAGAGTCTCAGTATGATGACAGGAAAGAATAAGGCTTCATGGTCACAATCAAAATTATTAATCAATATACATATTCTTAATTACTAATGTAAGTGGAAAATATTATATCTATTATTAGTTGAATAACTTGAAGACAGTATATGCCACAATATTTGAAAAAGTCCCCCCCAAAAGTAGTTAAATACTAGTCTGTTTGCAAAAGGAATTGTTTATTTTTAATTCTGAATTGATGGAATAATTAACCATAGTTTTCTCAGCAAATACCAAGCATTTATGTTAAATTCCTAAGTGTTTTTTCTTTAATATTTTATGACAAATAACTAACCAGATGAGCTGTTTCTATTCCGCAGAGATGAGTAATACTTCTCCCTTGTAATCATGTGAAATAACCTCCAGTATCAATGATTAAAGTAAACTGCTTTTCCAGAGATCAAAACAGAAAGAGTTACAAAGTGAACTATTGAGGACAAATGGTTTCAGAAATCTGATTTATGGAGTACTGTTCATTATTGTGTTTTTCCTTCTGTCCAGCTTTTAATCATATACATGACTTATAAAGTTAAGCTTGACTTTCCAATCCTTCACTAACTCTTCTCTGCTTAATAACATTAAAAAGAACAATATTTATTGAGTTGAAATTTATATTCTACTTCAAACCCATTGTGAAACACACCTGCAAACATGTAAAAGAATATAACTTCCCTCCAGTATTTCAACTTTCCATTAAAATGCAAATATGATTTCATTAGCCAGGCAACAATACCCACAGCCTTAAACCAAACAAAACCAGTATCTTTTCTCTCTATATCCCAACTTCCCCTAAGATACAATCTTACTCTTATGTTGGATCATTTCTGGATGAATATTTTTAGATTTGGACTTGCCATTATTATCCCTGATTAGAGAGGGAAAAGTAAAATATGTGATTTGAGATTTTAAATTCATAGATGTATCCTACTTCCTAGACAAGCAAATATAAAAATATATAAAAATAGTTCACTAAATTTTAAGCAAAGAACTGGAAAATAGCCCTTCTTTCAGGTCCTAAGCATTAGATGAAGAAGGGGGAGGGGGAAATCACTCAACGTGATTAAAAGTATGTCATGAAGGCAACAGCCACTGTATTTCATATTCGACCTTCCCAGGAGTCTATCCAGGCCACACTTTATTTTGCCATAGGTAGAAAACTCTCCACAGAAACTCTGTTAGCTTAGTAACACTAGACAAGCAGCTCCAGTGAAAAGATTCATCAAATTCGAGGGGGGGGGGGGAAGAGACACAGAGAAAGGCAGAGATAAAAGACCCAAGAAAAAAAGGCAGCCAAGAGAGAAAGAGAAATTTGGACGGGACTGTTAGAAATTTGCTCTCTACTTCTCTGCTTCTTTGCTGGGATTGGGTTTCATTTCTTTCGGCGCCCCTGACCTTGCAGTCTTCCGACTCTCCACGCTCCCCCTCCCGACCACCCCCTCCCCCGGCCTGCGCCTGCCTTTGTGTCTGCCTGTCACTTACCGGGGAACCCAAAGGAGTGGATTCAGGAGCAGCACAAAGCCAGGACACAGATTTGCCCACAAATTCTCTTACACACATTCCCCAGGCTGCAAGGCACAGCCCATCGCAGAGCTGATGTACCTTGAGAAAGTGGGTTCTGGTCTTGTTGGGGCGACCGGAGCAACTATTCTTTGCTCTCCCCACTCGGCACCACTAACAAAACGCGCAGACTTAAGGGAAAAACAAAACCTCACTTAGTGTACTACAGTTCCACTCCCCGTGACATTCGCTCAGGACGCCCCCCAAAAAGGGGACACGGGGGGTAGAAGGGGCGGACGCAAACCCAGACCCAGACCCAGACCGACAGCACATAAAAGGGTCGAAAAAGCTCCCGTCACTGTTCTTTCCGGGGTGGGTTAGGAGAGACCAGAGACTCGTTTGACTTACACGAAGGAAGGGGAGTGGGAGCATTAGAGGGAAATGTAGTGCCCCCCCGCGTCGCAACCCTCCCTCCAAAAAAAAAAAAAAAGCTGAACTATTTTAGAAAGGGGAGCAAAGAAAAATCACTTTCCTGAGGATAAAAGGCCGAGAAACCGGCTGGTCGGAGTCAAAAAGGTAAGTTTTCCGGGTCAGGAGGAGACGAGCAATAATAGCAGGAGAAAGAAAAGAACCCAGAACTATAGGTTTCAGGGGGGTGCGGGGCGGGGGGGGGGAGAATTAAAACTATATTTGTCAGCCATGTTGAAGAGGCTCCAGTAATTTGTGAAGCTTCCCTCTTCCCTCTTGGTATTCGTGGGTGACACTGCAGGGCTTGCTCCCCCGTCCCTGGAAGCCCGAGAGAAAGCGAAGGGGAGAGGAAAGGGAGAGTTTCGCGGCACAAGCGACGCGCTCTGACCTCGGTCTCGTCCCGCAGCCTTGCAGCAATCCAGCAGTTGCAGTCAGGTCTCCTTTCTAACAAATCCTAAAGGGCAGCCATCTTGCTTTCTTCTGCTTCTCTACGAAAGCAGCCTAGCCTCCGCATCAATATTCATAAGGCAGTTTGACGTCTGTTCTCATCACTCGGCGGGGCCGGCGTCTCGGGGCGGCCGCGCCGAGGGGGCGGACGTGACTCGCATGCGAGCCGGGCCTGGGCGCGCAGCGCTCGCGGGGAGGCGGCGGCCGCCCGAGCTCTCCTCCTTCGCCGCCTCCTCTCCTTCTGCGCCCCGCTGTCCTCCTCCTCCTCCTCCGCCTCCTCCGCCGCCGCCTCCGCCCGGCCTCCGCCGCCGCCCTGGGTCCCTCAGCCCCGGCTCCCAGGGAGTCAGCCCCCCCAGTCCGGGGCGTCCCGCACCAAGGCCGAGGCACCCGGGGGCCGGACACTGGCGCGCGCGGTCCAGGCCGGGCTGCCCTGGCGCCGTGGAGCGAGCGGAGCGGGGGGGAGCGGCGCGCCCGGCGGAGCGCGGGGCGGGGGCGGGCGCGGGGGGAAGGTCCAGCCCCCGGACGCCGCGGCCGGACCCGGACCACCCCGGGACCCTCCGACGGGTCCGCGCCCCGGGCTAGGGCGCGCAGGCGAGGTGGCGTGAGCGCCTGGCACGGGGATGCGAGACCCCCGGTGAACCCTTTAAACTTTTTCTTGGTACAGCGCTCCACCGACGCCCGCTTCTAGGTCACTGAGCTCCCCTGGCCCCCGCGCGCACGCACCTCCGCCTCGCACCAGCCCCGGCCCCCGCCTCTGGCCGCGTCCCCGCGCGCGCCCCGCTCCTCCCGCAGAGGCCCGCACGCCCATCCCCTGGTAGGTCCCCCGTCACCCCGCCCTCTCGGGTTTTGGCATCCTCCCGACACTGTCACTTTAATCTTGCAGAGCAGAAGCACTCCTCAGCTCGCCGAGGTGAGGGCATGCCCTGAGTGCGTTAGGGGCCTGTAGTTTTAGAGACTTGACAAATTAGGAAACTGACCCAGGCCCGCGTCTCCCCGCCCTGGCCCACCTTCTGTTTACTTTGGGCACGTGGGCTGGGATGGAGAGGGATTCTCACACACCCAGGATGAATTTCTCACCAGGGACTCGACTGCTCGCTAGATTCGGTTGTAAGAAACAAGCCTGCACCTCCCAGTTCTTAAGTTTTCTCCGATATGAGTCCGTGTTGTGAAAAAAATTCCGCCCGTATAATTAATTAACGAAGAAATCGACCCATAAAGAACAAAATTCCCTATGACGGACGCCCGATTTTCCCTGACGTTTGGGACTCCGTCCGATGACTCCGCGTGTCCGTTGACAGCAGTTTTTTTGTTTTCTATCGACGATTAGTTTTACCCCTCTTTTTAATGCTCCTTTTTCTAATCATAATTTTTTTAATTGGAAGATGAGGTAAAGAACAAAGCCCCTATGAATCATTGTATCTGATAGTTTTTGAGATTTGCCCTCTATCTTGAAGAAGTTCTCATGTTACTGGCATTCAAACTTTAAAGAGATATTTTGAGTATCTTTTATGAGACCACTACATTTTGATCACAATACTCTTAGGTCAACGGAGGCTATTTTGTGTATCCCGCTTTTCTGTGTGTCCGTAATTTCTTTAGAAGTAAAATCTTTTGCTAATTTTATGAAATGGAAATATTTCCTCTTAGGAAAAAGTTATAAGGCACTCTTTCCATGTGTCACATTGTTACTAAGTAGAATGTTTCACGTTTGTTCTAATGAAACATTGTTTATTCCATTTTGAGACAAAGTTGACTCAGGTTTCTGATTTTGCATAGGCTAAGCAAAATCGTTCATTTCCCCCTAAGCATTTCTTTCTGTGAAAATGAATTTCCATCTTTTCTAACTGTACACTAGTGTGTCATCAAAGTCTTGGCAGTTGCTAATGGACTTTAAACTGTTTGGGAGGTTCCTTGGATCTGCTTTTCAAGTCCAAAAAGTAAAGTTTTCCAACAGCTATGACATACATTTATGTAGTGCACAGCACAGCTGAACTATTGAAAGTGTGGGTTTTGAAATCCAACAGACCTAAGTTAATCTTGACGCTGTCCTTTACTAAATGTGTGACTTTGAGCATGGTACTTAACTCTGTGTGTATCAGTTTTCTCATCCGCTAGACACCCTCTAAAACAACAGGGTGGTTGTGAAGATTAAATAAGACCCTAGGTAAGCGCCCAGGTGGTTATTACTATTACCAATCATAAAACATCTACTTCCAGGAGTTTTTCTTAATTAACTAAAAGTATATAATGTCTTCAAATAACATGTGGCCAATATTGTATTCACATGTGTCTCATATAAACACCTGTACATTCCCTTGGTTACTTATATGGTAATTGGAAAAATGATCTTTAAGGCCACCTCCTTCTCATTTCATTTTTAAAATCTCTCTCTCTCTGTGTTGTAACAGGTGGTTCTTGTCTATCTGGAATCATTCTTGGCTTGCAGTTGGTTTTGCAACAGGCCCTAAACCTTTCCTTGCCAACTTCTGTCTCTGCACCCCCACCACACCCTTAACCACCATGACATTTGTTAATTTAAAAGAAAATACATTACTCCTCTTGGCTAGTGTGACTTTTCCACAGCAAAAGGAAGTAAAATTCTGAAGGTTTCCAAGTGTAAAATATTTTAGTGATATTTTGTTGATGAAATGAAAACCTCTTAGTTGCTATTTCTGGGAAAGAAAAGATATAGTGTATATACTCAGTTGTTTACTGGACATTAGTGCACATTTGTACGCATAATTCAGTGCCAGCTTTTATAAATTGTGTGCATTCTTGAGATTCCTCCTATAGGTGTGGATAATCTATTTTTAAAAGGTAATTTACTGTCTTAACAGCAGCCAATTGTTATCAAATTCCTTACCTTTTTTGTTTTCCCCTCAAACTAGAAATAGCACTCCTTCCTCACAAAGAAATCTTTGCTTCTTTAATGGAGAAAAAAGCCGAATAGAACAAGTTCCACGACATGCTATTCTATGTTAGAAAATTGACTTGATTGGCCCGGGCACCTGCTGTCTAACTCAGTTGCTGGGTCTCTAAGCCTCCTAGGGTGGAGATCTAACTTCCTGTCTGCTCTGTCCATTAAAGAGCTGACAACAGCAGCTTGCTTTACAATGCAAATCTCTTGTACTAACAAAAAAATAATAGGTGATTCTTAATTTCCTCCCCACCTGCAGGACAGGAAATTTTAAGGACTTGATCTTATCCTCAACAAAGAGAAATAGCTGTAATACATACTGCTTTGAAGTAATTATAGCAGTTTAACACAAACATTAAATCATCCCATCTCTGAAAACATATTTCTGAAGTATGACCTGATAAAGATTCTCTGCATGCCTAAAAGACAATTGACCTTCAAACAGCATAGCAGTCATTGCTGTGAAGGGGCTGTTTTGTTTCCTTTTGTCTAGTGACATTACTGCACATCATTCAAAGGTACATATTTAACATAGGTAGAATGCTAATTTTAAAAATCGCTAGCAGATGAAACAATTAGACACAACATTTTAACTTTTTGATATAAATTATTTCAATAAAATCATCATTGTCTAAAGCCAGGGGTCATAATATTGTAACAGTCTTGATAAAGTCTCTTTTATTATGATGATTTCTACTTACTTTTTCTCTGACCTTTGTTCATATTGTTAATTCCTCTTCCTATAATTTGGAAATTTTAAAGAAATAGATACAAATGTTCTAGTCCTATCTTACTTAAATCAGGAGCCATCCAAAGTGTGTACTGATTTAATGGGGGGCAAAAGAAAATGTCAGATGAAACTCAGATCTAATCCTGTTAAAACATTGCCAAAGCCATTATAAAAAGAATATTAGGATCATTAGTGGGACAAACGTCATGGAAATGCCTCCAGAAGTATTGTAAATATGATGCTAATATCAATCTCTTTTCTTCTTATAAACTCTAACTTTACAATACTGTAAATGTTCTTATTCTCATTCAAATTTGGTAACTCACTTAATATTCCCTTTTCTTTTGAGAGAATAATGTTTCAACTTTAATGATGAACTTCAGTGAAGAGTAAATTTTAACTATTAGCAATTACCTCAGCACCATCTTATATTTATATAGGATTTTATAGTTTTTAAAACATTTTTGTACACTATTGTTTTTAAGGTAAATCGTACACTATTATGTTTAATATTCAAAACCATATGCCATGTTCAAAATAGCATTTAATTTAATTCCCATCTTATAAATATGAAAAGTGAGGTTAAGTAAATTCCTCAAGTTCATACAGCCTATAAACAGAAGAGCACCTCTCAAATGAAAGTTTTGTGAGTTCAAGATCAGGTCTTTTTCATTTTACCCAAACTATCCCCATATATTTTCCTGCTCATGTTCCTCTAAATTTTTCCTACCATTATTAGTACTGACTGATATAGGAATCTTCCCTTCAAAATTAAGAATAATTTTCCATTATTCTTTGTTACAAAAAACAAAACAAACAAAAAACAACAACTCACCATCTACATTTACTTATTCTTAGTACTCCAATGGTAATACTATCTGTTAAATACTAGTTATTCCAAGCACTGGGATGATAGTTCTACCCCTTTTTTTTCTTTGAATTTAAGGTTTATTACAACCAAATAAGGTAGGTAATATCTTATTGAGAATTACAGATTGAGTAACTTGGTTGGGATTAAAAAACTGGAACTAAAGTCTAAATCTAGGTTTGCCTGATACTAAAGCTCACGTCCTTGCAAGTACACTGTGCTATATCCCTGGTTTGTAGATATACAATAGATATCTATGTGTACACCATGGTAAGTTTTCACACAATTAGATTTTTTTTTGTTTTGTTTCAGCAATAACATTAGTGTTTTTCGCCTCTTCCTCATATAACAAAACAACAACAACAAAATCCTCTTCTGTCTAAATCTCTACTTGGTTTTTCCTGTCATTTACTTTCTACCCTTTTCTTCAGTTTCCAATTTTATGCTAAAAAGCTGTCATGCTTGAACTCTTTGGAACAATGATTACATTAGTGTAAATTAGTGTAATAAATGTGCTACCACACCCCTGACCGTTCCCCAACTACTTTAACATATGTCTTACCCCACTAACAAATTGTTTAGAAAGATAAGCTCTGCTATCTGTTTTCAAATGGGTGTGGTGAAATGGAATTGTAGCACCCTTGATCTGCTCCTGACTTCCTTGAATGACTTAGGGGTTCATTCCTGACTAACAGGGAAGCTGGCAGGTGGAAAGATCGCCAC